TACACTCATATAGACATTTCCAAAACCACAGAAGCTTAAAAAAAATTAAAAAATGGGGCTTTTGGTCTAGCTAAGTGAGGAGTTTAGCAAAGCTTTCCCATAAAAAACAACAATAAAAGTAGATTAAATGTTCAAAGCAATCATTTTAGGAGTCTAAGAAACTGGCTGAAGGCATACAGTAAACTGAAAATACAATAAATTTATCCATAAAAAATTGCCAGATTTCAGGTAAGAAATTGGGATTCTGTGGCACTCTTGCCTGGGGATGCTACCATCCCTCCTCCCCAGCCCAGGTGGTGCATTAGTTCCACTAGGGTAGGGAAAGCCATGAAAACCCTTAGCTTTGTTGTAGAAGTAGACTCACTCAATTTGAAATAAAGGATGAAAAACCCCATGCTCAGCAGCACTGTTAATAACAGTAGCAATTTTGGTAACAAACGAATAGGGAAGACCGGTGAATCTGCAAGCCTAACAGTGTAATCTGAATCAGCAAGCCTAACAGTGTAATCTTGGGTGGGGCAAGCAACTCACTAGCCAGAAACTTAACAGAGAGATTCAGGAAACGAGATAGCCATGGAGGGCCTTGATAAGCTCTCCACACATCTCTGGCTGAATGGAAGGAAGACAGGCTCATGTATAGCAAAGAGTGGAGAGAGCCAAAGCTCTCCATACATCCTTGCCTGACAGTGAGTCTGTGCACATGCAGAGGAGACACAAGGAATCCCAGAGGAAAGTAAATGTCAGGGCAGACAAAGAAACGAACTACTGTGGACACTCCAACACACACATGGTTCCATCAGCAGAGGGTGGACAACTTAGCAACAAGAGTGAGCACAATCTCTGACCAATCACTGGCTGACCACTAAGCAGTGTAGATACAGAGAAAACTCCTAGTAGGCCAGGCTTAAAAATAAAAGCAAGAGAGAAAAACATTAACAGAAACATTTTAGCTATAAACCATGAAGGAGACAGATTTCACAAATTTAGTCCAACTAAATTATTAAAGAAATGGAAGACAAAAAAAAAAAAAAAACCAGCAATTATAGAATAAATTATATTCTATACATCTCTCCGGAAAGAAAAATCAGAATGCAGATTTGCTATAACATGTTACCTAAATGTAGAGTTTTCAACAAAAACTAAGAGACATGCAAAGAAATGGGAAAATGTGTGATACATACAAAGGGAAATAAAAAAGCAGTACAAAGAAACAATCCTGGAAGGGGCCCAGATGTTGAACTTACAAAAAAGAGATTTAAAAAGTAAAATAACTGCAATGAAAAATTCACTGGAGGAGCTCAGCAGCAGATTTGAGATGGTGGAAGAATTAGTGAACTTGAAGATAGGTCAATTAAAATTATCCAGTCTGAAGAAAATGATGAAGAAAATGATGCCCAGAAATCAGCAGGACAACATCAGATGTACCAACATACACAATAGGAATCCAGGGAGGAAGACGGAGAAAGAGAAAGAAAAAATCTTAAAGAAATAATGGCTGGAAACTCCCCACATTTACAGAAAAACATAAACCTATAGATCCACAAAGCTTAGCCACAAGTAGGATAAACATCATAGTCAAACTGCTGAAAGCCAAAGATAGAGAAAGTCTTCACAGCATCAAGACAAAAATAACAGATTGTGTACAGGAGAACAACAAAATGATTAATGACTCCCTTCTCATCAAAAATAATGAAGGCCAGAAGGCGTCAGAGTGGCATATTCAATGTGCTAGTGGGAAAAAATACTGTCAACCAAGAACTATATAACCTATCCTTTAGAATGTAGGTGAAATAAAGACATTCCCAGAAAAACTAAATAATTTTCCCCCCAACAGATCTAGGTTACAAAAAAGACTAAAGAAAGTCCTTCGGGCTGAAAAGAAATACCACCGTATGGCAACTCTACTCACAGGAAGAAATGAAGAGCACCAGAAACGGAAATATGTGGGTTAATATGAAAGACTATAAAAACACTGTGCTATAAACCAATATCCCTCATGATTACACATGCAAAAATCCCTAACAAACTATTAATAAACCATATCCAGCAAAATATAAAAAGGATTACATAGCATGCATGACTAAGTGGAATTTATCCTAGGCATGAAAATGGGCTTCACAAGTGAAAATCAACTAATGTAATACACTATCATCAACAGACTAAAGGAGAAAAAAAAAAATCACATGATCATCTCAGTAGGCAGAAAAAGCATCTGACAAAATTCAACACCCATGTTTACGCTATTTATTAATGGCAAAAACTCTCAACAACTAGAATAGAAGAGAATTTGTTTAACATGATGAAGGGCAGCAATAAAAAACCTACAGCTAATAGTGGAAGACTCAATGCTTTCTTTCTAATTTCAGCAACAATGCATTAAAGGTTCTTGTTAGTGAATATGCAATGAAATGAAATAGAATGGAATGGAATAGAAGAGAAGAGAACAATATAATAGCATATGATAGCATGACATGACATGACATGACATGACATACAATTAAAGGCATCCAGATTAGAAAGGAAGAAGTAAGACTGTATTCACAGATGACATGGTCACATGTCATGGAATCCTAATAATTCCATTAATTAGGATTAGATTAATTAGAATTCCAATTACTCATCTTAATAATTCTATTTTAGAAATAACACACTATAACTTACTAATAAACACATTCAGCAAGGTCACAAGATACAAGATCAATACATAAAAATCAACTGCATTTCTACATATTTGTAATCATCTGAAAATGAAATTTAAAAACAATTCCATTCACAATAGCATCAAAAAGCATACAATATTTAGAAATAAATTTCACAAAAGGAATGCAAGCTGGTACCCTAAAACCCTATCATTAACAGAATAAAAGAGAAAAAAAAAATCACACAATCATCTCAAAAGACAGAAAAAGCATCTGACAAAATTCAACACCCATGTTTACGCTATTTATTAATGGTGTAAAATATTGCTGAGAAAAATTATAAAATATCTTAAAAACAAAGTGAAGAAACATTTCATATTTTATATTCATGGACTAGAAGACTCAAAATTGTAAAGATGGAAATTATCCCCAAATTGATCTATAGATTGAATATAATATCTATCAAAATCCTAACAGTTCTTTATAGGAACTGACAGGCTGATCCTAAAATATATATAAAAATGCAAAAGTACCAGAAGAGCCACAACAATTTTGAAAAAGAATAAACTTGGCGAACTTACACAACCTGTATTTCAAAATTTATTATAAGGCTAAAGTAATTAAGAATATGCTACTGGTATAATGTCTAAAATACCTTATGTTTGATTAATTTTTTCCCTCTTGCTTTGGCAGCTGACTGGCATGGGGATCCGAACACCTTACTGAACTAACTGGCCAGCTTCCGTAGTTAATTTTCAACAATGGTACTAAGGCAGTTCAATGGGCAAAGGACTGTTTTTTCAATATATGGTGCTAGGACAATTGTACATCTATACAGAAAAAGACAAATTAAGATGCTAACTTCACAGCATACACAAAAATAAACTCAAAATGGACTACAGACAAATGAAAGAATACTATAAAACATTTAGAAGAAAACTGCAGAAAGTCTTTGTGACCTTAGGTTAGGCAAAAAGTTCTTTTGGCCAACCCAAATTCAGGGTAAGGGAAATCAGATCCTACCTCTTGGTGAAGGACTATAAAGGTCATGAGATGGGAGGTATTACTGCAGCAATCTTTGGAAAATAGAATCTGTTCCACCTGCTAGGTCAGCACTGACAGGTGTACGATGCATGAGCACTAAGATATAAACCTCTCCTTAGCTGTGGTCGTGCTATAGTTCCAATTTATAGTCAATATATGACTCATATCTGACTCTTCCATTAAACCATGAACTCCATGAGGGCAGGAATCATGTCTTTTACTAGCTCACATGTATCTATCACATAGCAAGCACTTAAAAAATTTGATTTTAAATTAAATGAATAAAAATGGACTGTCATATTTGCTTGCTGAAACCAAAAAATATATTAACTATTTTCAGTTCCCAGGTTACTAAATACTTAGTGCAATTCCATGTGTTGAATTTCTGAAGGCAACTGTGATTTAAAATATCTCCACCTATAAATAAATAGTTGTTTTTCTTACAGATAATATGATCACAATACATGTATATAAGTCAATCCACCAGCCAGCCTGGGATCACTGAAGACACGGTCTTACCCAGAAAGCTGTGTGGCAGATGTGTCAGCTTCTTTAAAATAAACTGTCTACAGAGCCAAAGTGTTGAATGCTTCAGTTTTTTAATCAAGAGCATGCAAATCACACAAAAGCTCTTTTTATCAAGAGCATACAAATCACACAAAAAACTTAAGTAATTTTTGAACAGAGGTAGAGATATATTAATAATCACATTCTTAGTAATGTCAAGGTATCTGAAAGGGTTAAAACAGTCTATCAATTGTTAACAAAACATAAACACCTGGCAGAAGCTAGCTAAATGGTCTTTCTCCTCTGTGCTCATTATGGTTATGTCTGTCATATTTATCATGCTGTACTGAAATCAGCTGTTGATGTTTCTCTTTTCCCCTAAACTGCATATTCCTTGAGGGTGAAAACTGCTTTTATTCATGTCTGCATATAGAGTACAGTGCTTGGCACACAGAAGTCACTAATGGGCTTGTGTTGGAGAACAATGAATTTGTCAAGTGTTTTCGGTGTCACATAAAAGCTTAGGATCTGAAGTCCCAAAACCTGAACTAGTGATTGTGCTAAGTTTTTCAGCCATGTAACATTAGTAGTGTCATTTAATCTCTCTAAAACTCTATTGCCTAAATGTATAAAGAAGGAATAATGCCAAATAATTCACAGGGACATTATGATGTCTGACTGACATGACGTATATGAAAGTTTTTTAGCAGATAAGGAGCTATGCAAATAACTATTACTGACAAGAATTATCGAGGATTAAAATAAAGGACTTTAAAGTGCAAGTTAACTATCAAGAAAAATTGTACTAACAGGGATGAGAAACTTTTTGATTTCTTCCAAAGCATGTCCCATCCGGGCATAAGCTTCTGCTGGCGGGGCAAACACTTCAATGAGAACATGGAGATCATCATTGAGGTGAAAGTATTTTGCTTCTCCACTTTTCCTTAACTCTTCTTCCTGAAGAAAGAAAGAGTACATTTAGAAATGTGTCACTAAAAGAAGAAAATAAAAACTACTCAAAGCTTATATAGCATGTATTTATCATAGGAGATTCTCAACAGCAAACATCACCCCCTGAGGAAGAAAGTTTCAACTAAAAATCTGATCCTGTCACTCCCCAGCTTTTATAAACACTCCAAAGCCTTCTTACTACCACTGGAATAAAGTCTATACTCCTGAAGCTGGCCTATAAAGAATCCCATCAACTGCCCACTGTCCCCTACTCCAGCTCCTTTGCCTTCTCCTGTCGCCTTTGCTCAACTCACTGCAGCTGCTGCACAGACCACTTTTGTGTTTCTCAAGCTGGCTAAGCTCCCAAGCTCACTCCTGCACTGGCTACGCTGTGTAACTGTGATGCTGTTACAAACCATTTATCACTATCTATAATGTCTAAAATACCTTAATTTTTAATTGTCTTTTTAAAATTTTCCCTCACTGGAAGGTAGGTAATCACCATGGAGCAGAAACTGTATTGCCTTATTTGGTGATGTATTCTCCAGGTCTAGAAAAGTGGTTGGTATATAGTAGATCTCAACAAATAATTGTGGAATGAATGGTTAAACATGACTCATTCATTGCTATGTTCATTTGCTCATTTACATATTCATTCAAAAACATTTTTACATGTTAGACACTATATTATGTCTAACGACAAAACTGAATAAAATAAAAGAGATTTATTACATGATTTTAATAATTATGACAAAGGTTTTTAAACTTTTATCAGGGGTTTACATAATGAAATTTGGAAGAAAATTAGAAGGAGGGAAAAACCAGACTGTTAAGGGTCTACTGATTTTGCTCTATTACCTTTTTTTTAACTTTCAACCATACAAAACGTGATCTCCAGAATCTGGGTCTTCTATTAGTCTTTATTTTCAACATTAAAATCAGACAGATCAAGATTAGTAGGAATCTGTGCATAAATGATTTCCAAAAGGTAGGAAATCTTCCTAGCCTCTTCAGAAAACCTATCCCATGGGCCGTGGCTCACTTGGGAGAGTACGGCGCTGGTAGCGCCGAGGCCGCGGGTTCGGATCCTATATAGGGATGGCCAGTTTGCTCACTGGCTGAGCGTGGTGCAAACACCATGCCAAGGGTTGCGATCCCCTTACCGGTCAAAAAATAAAAGAAAACCTATCCCAAAAGAGAGGTGAACCCAGGAAGTCTCAACATCCCCGCCTTTTAATTCCACCATTAGCCAGGAGTCCAGTGATGCAAATGCTAGAGGCAATACAGCCTTGACTCACTCTCTAAGGTTTCAACTTCTGTTACTTAATTGATTTGAATTCTTCCAAAGAGCATAAAAAGGATTTAGTCAGATATACCTGAATCTTAGCTATGCCAGTCATGAGCTGTGTGAGTTTAGACAGATTATATATAGCCTTAATTTGCAAAATTAATTTGGTGTTAACACATGTATACTAATGCAGGATCATTGAGAATACAAGGTACATCTTTATATAAATATCTGGCAAAAGGAGTTATATACAGCCTAGTACATTGCCTAACATATGGTAGTCAATAAAGGCTAGTCTCCTTCACATTTATGGAAAGTGGGTCATAAACAAAGAAAAGAAGAAAAAATATCTGAAGGAAGAGTAAACATAAGCTATCCTATACATTTCCTTTGAAATTTGTCTTGAGTATAAAAAGCACATTCTTTTATGCCAACTAACAGTTCATTGTTCTAATCAGAACATTTCTGCCATTTGATCTGAAACTCTGTCTTTCATAGCTGCAGTTTTAAGAATTGGATTCTATGCACAGTAGTTCATCTCTGAAAGCATGAACTACTGAAACAAACATTTCTAATCCTTTTTTAATAATGGCACCAGAATAATGATTTTAACAAAAGATTCTAATTATTCTATGCACAGTAGTTCATCTCTGAAAGCATGAACTACTGAAACAAACATTTCTAATCCTTTTCTAATAATGGCACCAGAATAATGATTTTAACAAAAGATTCTAATTATTGGTTCATATTTAAGCATTTTCATTTCTATCCCAAACTTAAGGTGGGATAGAGACGATTTCTCATCATAACTGTAGCCACTGTACAACTCCATAGTGTGAGACGTTATCACCAGACTATCCATAGATCAATGATGAGAGGCAATGTGATGTTTGGGGAAGAGCACAAACTTTGAAGTTTTGTATTCAAATCCAAAATCCAATATTTACTGTATGGCTTTGGGCAAGTTAAATTATCCTTATCCTGAAAGGATAATTTCAGGTGAAGATAACAATAATGTAGTACCTATCTCATAAGGTTGTTATAGTAATAAAAGAGTTAACACACAAAAAAAAGTTTTTAGAATTATGCCTATTATTATTACATAACTACAGTATTAAATAATATATTATTCTATCATATAGATGATATGAGCAAAATATCTACCATGAAGTTTGGTACAAACTAAAGGCTCAACAGACCATAGAATTATCATGATTATTACACTACATTACCAGCTGATACATATCAGTAATCACTCCCATTTCATCATCAATGTAAGAAATAAAAAAAAAAAATTATGTTTGCAGTAGTCCTTAAAGAGCAAGCACTCTGAGAGTCTAAAAGGATGAGCTTTTAATACTAAGAAATGAGAATCTCTTTAGAAACACACATATTATTAACTGACAATTTCTGTAGACTAAAAGTAGTAAAAAGGACCAACTGATATCAATATTACAGTGTTCAGGCAGTGTGGATCTGATTACAACACAGCAGATGGGATATTGGCAGTATCCATTTAAAGTAGTAAACCTGTTAGTTAAACTATCACCTGTGGACACCTTCAGTGAAATGCTTATAAAGGTATAACTGATGGGCCATGTGGCAGAATCTACAGCACAGTGTGACAGCAGGCAAGAGAAAGATAAGGCCGGTGGGGTGGAGTGAAATGGGCTGTTTTTTCCTGTACTCAAAAGTTTAAAGAAGGTAGTAACAGACTCAGGGCTTTATGTTATCAATTCAATGCCTGCAAATCCAGAAGTATCCAAGGAGGTTTTACTACCTGTAGTCACAGAATGATGCTGAGTTCAAGCTTGTATACTGCTGAATGACAATGCAGATGCCCAGCCCTCTCTTCTGTGAGCACAGAACAATGGATAACAGTGAAAATCTGAGAACTGGATTGGCAAAATTTGGGAGGATTCAAATAACTCTGAGTTCCCAATGCTAAAACCCCACTGAGCCTTCTACATCAGCAAAAGCCTATCTGGTGAGCCCTTTCCTATGCTGCCTGAACAGCTGAGGTATTCCTTGAAAGAAGATGGCAATTCTCATTCTTCATTACTACTACTCCTTATATCCCCCTGGCCTACCATCAGATCTCTGATTGCCCCATAGATGCAGAGAATAAGAGAGCTAAATTAAATCCAGAGGAGAAGGCTGCTCACATACAATAACCATAACATCTATCCTAGTGTGAGACACTTCCTCCTATTCATCCCAGTAAGGATCTGGGACCTTTTACTAGAGTGACTGTCACTGAGGTGAAGAAATACCTAGATAGTTTGAGAATTAATAGAATTGACTCTGAGCTAATGGTGCTTCACTGAGATCACCCAATCACAGTGGGTCTTATGGAGAAAAGAAACAAATGGACTTCTGGGCCTAGTCCTTTGACAGTGGGCTTAGTTGATTGTAACTCCACTGTGTATGCTGTAGCAGATTGAATTATGCCCCCCAAAACTCAATGAAGCTTGAATTGTGTCCCCCAAGTTTTATGTATTAGAAACTTAGCCCCCACTGTGACTGTTAAGAGGGTGGAAAATCCTATTATAGTAATTGAAAGGTGGAGTCTTGAAGAGGTGATTGACTTGAAGGACTGTACAGTAGTGAATAGATTAAAAATGGTGGTCAGGGGCCTTGTTCCAAGGACTTTAAAAGAAGAAGAGAATCTGTTTCTCTCTGCTTCCACCATCTTGCAATGTGAGACCCCTGGGTCACTGTTGCCACCACCAAATGGACCTTGGACATCCCAGCCTCAAAAACTGTCAGCAATAAATTTCATTTTCTTATAAATTACCCAGTTCCATGTATTTTGTTATAAGCAACAAAAACTAACTAATACATTTGCTATTCCTCCAGTTCCTGGATGTCTTGATGGAATGTGAATAATCAGCCACTTGCAGAATCCCCATATTGATTAGCTGACCCATGTGATCAAAGACATAGAAATGAGAGGATTACTGATCGGTGATAAGTGGTCTGAAAAAGAGGCCCAAGAGTGTAAAAACAGAGTGCTCTATGCTAATGCAGAGCAGGCACTCAGCCAGGGAGTCAAGAGGACTCATGGCAGCAAAAGTTAGAGCACCTCATTCCTCAACCACTTCAGTGCTACTCAAAGTGTTCATAAACTAAGTGACCATAGTGACAAGAACAGAAATTGTGCATTACTTCCTAATACAGATTCTCCTCAACAAAAATTACTGGCTACTGTCATTGCTGAGTGCCCAACATTCCAACAGCAGAGAACCACCAAAAGCCCTTGATATGACAACATAATCTAGAAAGATCACCAAGCCCTAATAGGAAGCCAATAATAGTTAGGGTCCCTTTCAATATATGGATAGCCAGGCACTTGCTGTTACTTGAAGATACAATCTAGATAAAGATTTGCCTTTCTTGCTTCTATTCCACCTACAAAACTATTGATGGATGCCTTGATTACACAAAACATTGCTTCTGACCAAGAAACTCTCTTAACAACAAATAAGGACAATGGACACCTGTTCATGGGTTTCACTGTTCATATCATGTAGCCCATTACCAGATGGCCTCAGCATGGGTGGAGTACTGTCCTACAAGATACACATAATTTCTCACCACCTGGCCAATACATGCTTTCATTTTCTTCCACTACCAGAAAGATGAGTCAAGTAATCAAAGAAACATCATTTGAGATAGCAATGCTTAGTGAGTAGTTAGTAAAACCTGGCTGTGCGTTAGAATCACTTCAAACACCTACTGAAAATGTATTTTGAGGACTTTAAACAAGCTGGGATATGGAAATCTGTATTTTTTAAACAGTATTCCATAGAGTTTGACACATATCATGTTTTCCACTGCTGTAGTAGAAAACATACAGGTGTTGATGTCAGAAAACTATGGTTTTATTGACTGTGTTAACTAAACAATACAATGAACTTCTCTGATTAACCCACACAATATACTCAAGTTCCCTGAATCTGTTTTCTTACATGTAAAATAAGGAAAATATTATCTTCCATCATTTTTCCAAGGATAACATGGAACAATGCCTGAAAAATGTCTCACACTGTGCCTGACTCACAGTGCTGTTCAATAAACAAATAGTGGCTATTTCGTTATAAAAGCTATTACTTAGATGAAATTTTTTATGAGGAGGCTGAATTTTATCTAAATAACTTTCAATTCTAAAATGATCACTGTGCTCAACATTTCATGGTAAGTGATCACTAAATGTGGACTTGGTTCTCAGTAATACAAATCTTTTAACAATGAGAGAACAAGTGACATTAGAGAACAACGTTAAGTGACACACATTATGAAACGTAAAAATGTCTTTCAGAATAGGTATGCTTAAGAAAATTATCAATAAAAATAACTCAGTAATTTTTAGCCTGTTTAAAAAGTGTCATATTGCCTAGTAGAACAACTATTTGTCAGAACAGTAAGCAATTAGTAAAACATGTAGAATCAATTTTAATAGCTCGATAAAATGCATATACTAACAAATAAAGGTCAAAAAGAAGAAAAAAAGCATATACATTATAAACTAAACTATATGAAACATATGTATGGAAAAAATGATCCAAAGTAATTAATCTAAAATGCAGTGATGGTGAGACTATAAATAACTTTTATTTCTCTTCATAATAATTTTAATACTTCCCACAAGGTGACATATTACATCTCAAATCAAAACTACAAGTATTGAAGTTTTATGTTATGTATAAATATAAAGCTTACAGATGCAGGTTTAAGATCCCACATATTCTGAGATTAGAAGAGTGACTCAATTTTCTACACAGTATCATAAATTTATTACCTTACATAATATACTCATATAATTCCATTTGAGAGCCTAGTGACCTTTTATATACTATATATAATACGATAGATGGTTTAAAAGTACATATCTTGACTAAAAAAGTAGCTACCGTCATTAATGAATATTACCTTTGCCTTGTCTCTCATGGAACCTTTTCCAAGGATGGACATTTTTGTCAAGGTTTCTTCTTGCAAACGCTTCAGAGAATTGCCACGTGGACCCAAAAGCTTCCCCACAAAGTTGAACTAGGAAAAACAAACCAACCAAATTTGTAACATTCATATCCGAAAGTAATATATTAATACTGAACCCTTAGGAAATGCTGTAGTATGCTACGCATCACTAATTAATGACAAATATTTAAGTTCCTGCTACATGCGTCACACTGTGATGTTTTCCATGAACACCTAAAATGAAGCTAAACCAAATGCTGTAGTATGCTACGCATCACTAATTAATGACAAATATTTAAGTTCCTGCTACATGCATCACACTGTGATGTTTTCCATGAACACCTAAAATGAAGCTAAACCCTGTAAATAAATTGCTACATTTCTTCATACCAATCACTTCAGTGACAGCTATATTTCACAAATTTTGAATTAAACCAGAATTCTTAGGTTGCTATCTGGACAATTTTAACACACATTAAATATCAACCATGAACACCTGTAGGATTAGAATGTAGGTGAGGAAAAAGGACACCACGTGTACTGTAATATCCACTAGGATGGTCATTATGGAGTACTTAGGTTTTTTTGCTAGGTCAGCATTTAGAGTCCATTATTCAACCAAGGAGTAGACTGGCTTAGATCAGTTTTTAAGCATTCAGTGGCTGAAAGAAGATTTACAACAAAATCCATTTATCTCTTCCAAAATAACTGCCAGAATAAATATCAGCTGAGTAACCTGAGCAAGTTACCTAACTTTCTTAGTTTCCTCATCTGTAAAATAGAAATGACAATAGGACCTACCCTTCATTGGGCTGTTCTGAGGATTAAATAGGTCAATATAAGCAAATCATTTAAAACAATGCTTGGCACATAATAGGCACCCAATAAATACATCTTGAATAAAATAATTATTATTTGGAATTTCACACAACTTTTAAAAGCCTTACTATATAATGAAGGTAAATCATGAATACTTCTTTATCAGCAGAGAGAAAACTGTTCTCTTTGGCAAGATTCTTGATTACAAACTCATGTAGCTGCCACTTCTTCCATGAACTATGCTGCTGCCATGCTGTTGCTGTTTACTAGCAAAAATTGTTCCTCAATTTATCTAACTATGGCAATTAAAGTAATTTTCCTGAAATAAGTAGTTAGCACTTTAAGAAATCAAAATGGTATTTTTTTCCTTCCCACTTTAAATTTTATTGGCCTTCAATCAAGACTTATATATTTTTAACCTTTACATGTTATTTTTTGCTTTTTAAAATTTCATTTTAAATAATTTTTTTAAATGTAAAAGTTATAATTACAGAGTTTAAAAAATCAACTACTACTACAAGGTGGGGGAAAAAATCAGTGACCTGAGCCACCCACCCCCTACTTTATTCTTGCTCCCCATTTTCTCTGTTTTATCTTTCTGAAAATTTTACTATTTGAATATTGGAATTCTCGAGTTGAATCTCTATTATTTTTCCTGTCTCTGTTTTACTTTATGAAAGATTTAACTACATTTCCTATTTATCTATTGATTCTTTCATTTCTACTATCAAATGTTTTTACTACTACTGAGACTTTCTTATATTTGTTCCTTTTTTAGTGGTATTTTTATATTTTGTGGAAACAATATAATTTCTCATTTTTCTGAAGATATTAATGACAGCAGTCCTTCCCTGTCTTGGATCTTACAGGTTCTGCTTCTTCCTAGTTTCCCCTTTCATGTTTTGTGAGTTGGTCTCTTTCTACATAACAGACTTTCCTCAGATGTCTGGTAATCCTCTACCACCAGTTGTAAAAAGCTAAGATTCAGGCTCTAAATGTTAACTGGAAGTCCTGATTTCATACATGGGACTTGACAATTGGTAGGTTTCACTGTAAACAGGGCAGCTAAGTTTTTCATCAAGAGCTTCTCAGATATCAGTATCCGTATTTTTCTCTTGGGCTAGGCACTTCCCTGAAGAATTCTCCAATCTCCTAAGAGGAGGTATAAGCCTGGCCACCAGAACCCTGGAAATCCCAACATTAAACATGCATAATTTTACTTAAAGGAAATAATTCCCTCATTTCTACTGTGACATTTCACTCTAGCCCTCAGCTGTATCTATCTGTGTCTTAGAGCCTAACGTTTCTCTTGTTCAACCTCTTCAGGAAACCTCTGGTCTTTTGCGAGAGTGTGGAGGGGAAGACTCTTGGTTTTATCTGATAGGAAGAACATCTGGTGATCTAATTCTCATACAAACATTCAACCAAGTCTACTCTTTTCAGTTCTACCACATAAATCCGCCTTTACAGTAAAGTATATCTATAATTTCTGAGTCTTCTCAAGGTTTTCTCATACTAATGAGCAGGTTTCTGGTTGAATTCCTTGCAGCAAGCAAGCTCAGTATTCTGCTTTCTCTGGTTTCCTGAGTCATGACCATTTATCCACTTATTTTGCAGACACCAAAATTTCACTTATATAATTGTCTATTGTTGTCTCGCCCATTTTTTTTCTTAATTTTCATGAATTTGTGCCATTTTTATTTGTATTCATTTTAGCAGGTTTCAAGGATGGAATAAAAATCAATTTCTGTAGTCAAATGGCCGTATTTACATCGTGTCTTTAATAGTCAAATACTTCCCAACTGATAACAAGAGGCTTTAGAAATCATCCAGTCTACACATCTAATTTTATAACTAAAGAAACTGTTCTAATTTTATAAATAAAGTCCACACAGTGATATGACTTATTCAAGATTATTTGATAAAACATATTTTGACAAAACGTATTTGCTAAAACATATTGAAGGTTATTTGATAAAACAATTTTAGATAAGAAGGAAAAGCATTTTATATAATTTTATATATCTTTAGGGGTTTCTTTCTCCATTTAACTTCCATTAGTCTTTTGTTCACAAAAAGTATATAAATGAATATTCTGACAATCAGAAACGCTTTTCCTGTCCTTGTCCTTCTTAACTCTGTTCAACTATATATTGTGTATCAATTACATCTCCCTGGTCAAATTAACCTTCACAACATAGGGATCATTCTACCTACTGTTGGTGCCTCGTATATGAATTAAGTAAGAAAATGCATACAAATCACTTACCAGACAGCCAATAAACTGTGCACACTTGGTACCAAATTAGTACATTATAAACTGATGGATTTAACTATTTTAGACATGTGTAATTTTATCTGAACAATATCCACCTTCATCCACAAGGCTACCAAGTGAGTCACAATACTGAAACATGACCAGGCCCAGGACACCTAAACTGGTCAAGAAGTTGACCTTTGACTGGAAGTCAAGGGAGTCTGAGGTTTAGAACAAATTGTGCAGGCACTGAATGTCCTTAGAGCTGAGTCATAATGATGGCAGTATGCTTGGTTGCCTGGTCAGGTTCTCAAACTGTAGATTGCATCACCTCCCTAGGGTGGCATTTGGAAATATTTAGCATGTTTGTTTGGTTGTCACAATGACTGGGGGGCACTTCTGGGATTTAGTGGGCAAAGGCTATAATGTCACACATCAGAAATGAATGGGACTGCCCCTAACAATGAGGATGTTCCTGTGTAAAATGTCAACTGTGCTCCTATTAAAAAATACTGTTAGAGAGAAGAAACACAGACTTAGGATTACTTTCTATTTCTTAGGTTTGGAGCCCTTGTTATACTGCCCTTTCTCAGTCTGTAAATTCAAGTCCTCCATGGATTCTATAAATTATCCTAATGTAGTTAAAAAACAAGACAAAAAAGTAAATCCCTTAATCTAGCCACAGTCAGTACTCACAACAAGAAAGGTCTAAGTAACAGATGGACTAAATACATATCTTGGACTCTTTAGATAATATAAACAATAAACAACCAAAGTTCTCTTATTTGGCATTAGTCCTACAACACCTCCTGATATTCCACTTGCTATGGACTTCTGAAGGACAGTCACTAGCGCTCTCTGTAACCAGCAGTGTGAACACAGCAATTCCTTAGACTTTCTAGTAGTCCTCAGTTTCACCATATTCACCACAGTGTGGCTTATAAGAGTCATTACACTTCAGTTATTATGAAGATTAAAAATCAGATAAAGTGCTGAGCACTGTGACAATGTTGAATTTTACCTGAGCCCTGTAACCATCAAAATCAGTGATGATTAGGAAATACCCCCACACTTTTGTGTTCCTGGAAAGAGCTTACTGCAAAAGACCACTCTTCTCCATATGATTGAACGACCCCTTATTTACTTATAACAAAACCAGACACAGACATTCCAAATTCCCATTCTTTGACCCATAAAAGATTAGCTGAACTATCTACCTCCACTGATCAATCGGAAAAAGCCCCACACCCTGATTGATTAAACCTTAATTCAGCTTCTCTCCTTCTCCCAGGCCCCTGAACTTTGATCTACCCTCAACCTGAGCCAGCACACAAGCTTTCCTAAAAGATTCCTCTGAAAAACAGACCAAGATCAGGGTAGAACATTCTCTGATTACTGTCTCATCCTGCCACTGCCACTCATTCATCCTACTTCCCTACACCCTTCTAGCCTCACTCACTTCACCCCATAAAAGGAAAGCCCTTTTGTACTTGACCTCCAAGATGTAACTTACTTGTCTCATGGTCAGCGAATTCTCTCTAGTGTAATAATCACCCTTCCCCTAGTACAATTGCCCTTTTCTATGTTCTTAATGATAATCATTTCAAATAGTCTCTCCTCATTTAAGTACTGATTTATTTTTTACTTGACAACTATATCTGCAAGATAGATAGTAAGAACTTAATACATTTTAAGATTTACCTTTACAGGTAACTTCATTTGTCGAAATAAATTCATTTGTTCATTAAAAAATAGTCATGTATTAATAATTTCATTTGTATGAAGGCCAAAGTGTTACCATTTCTAATACCAATGATTTTTCTCCAGATGTCAATTATTTTATTGCATGCATGCATACAACAATCGTTACAATTGTAAAGAGAAAAATTTAAGAGCTTATGAAGATGGTAAACCAATATATAGTAAGTATATTTGAGTTTCACTACATAATGTATAAGCCACAATAATTATATTCTCCACTGGTAAAGACCAAGTG